GGGGCCGTTTGCTTGGTAGATTTTGTTCCAGCCTTTCACTTTCAAAATGTGTTTGTTTTTATGGGCAGTGTGTGACTCCTCAAGGCAGCATATAGAAGGATCTTGATGTTTAATCCAACTAGACAGTCTGTGTCGCTTAATTGGAGAGCTAAGTCTGCTAATGTTGAGAGATTGGACTGAGAGGTATTTGGGAGTTCCTGCCATTTTATCCACCTTCTTTGGGGGCTAGGGCAACTGGGTTTTTCCTATGGTTCCTGGATTCTCAGTTTGGGTGTGGATCTTGGCCTTTATTGTGGTCTTGTTGATTTTCTATGTGTGGGACATCTTTAAGAATCTTTTGTAGGGCTGCTTTGGTGGAGATATAGTGTTTCAGTTTTTCTTTGCTATGGAAGGTTTTTATTTGTCCTTTAGTTATGAAGGAGAGTTTAGCTGGGTACAGTATTCTTGGTTGATAGTTGTTTGTCTGTAGGGCATGGCATACATCACTCCAGGCTCTTCTTGCTTTGATTATCTATGCTGAGAAATCTGAGGTGATTCTAATTGTTTTTCCTTGATATGTGATTAATCTTTTCTCCTTGACAGCTTTAAGGATCTTTTCCTTGGTCTGAATTGATCCTGTGTGGATTATAATGCGACAGTGGGATGTTCTATTCTGGTCTGGTCTATTTGAAGTTCTAAAAGCTTCTTGCATCTGAATAGACCTATCTTTTTGAATGTTTCAGAAGTTCTCTGCTAAGATCCTGTTAAACAAATTTCGTAGACCATTTACTTCTGTTTCTAGGTGCTCCTCTACGCCCATTATTCTCAGATTAGGCCTTCTGATGGTGTCTTCCAAGTGTTGAATAGATCCATCGTATTTCTTGGATTTGTCCTGGATGGTTGTATGTTCTTTCTCTATAATATCTAGGTTGTCTTCATTCCCCAAGATTTGATATTCTGCATGGTCTAACCTACTGACAAGACTTTTTACTTTGTTTTTTATTTCTTTTCCTTGTAGTTGGTCTGCTTTGATGCCTTCCAATTCTTTGTTGGAGCTTTGTTCTAATCTTGTATGAACTTCTTTACTTCCTTAATTTGGTGTTCAGTGTTTATTCTCAAATCACTTAGTTGATTGGTTATGGTTTCCTTGGACTCCCATTGCTTCTGTTGGCTTCCATTCAGCATTCCCTTTGTGGATTTTCTGAGTTCTTTCAGCTCTCTGTTTATGGATTTCATGAATGCCTTAAGTGATCTTTGTGTATTCTCATCCTGCTCTCTCAATTCCTATATTACTCTTTGATTAGCTTCCTCATATTCACAAGATTCCTTTAGCTCTCTTTTTGTTTTCAGCTTGCTCATGCCATTCCCGACTTTGTCTTTGTCTGTTCTCAGCCAGGTCATACAATTCCT